AAATTAATTTTATAATTAACTAATTTAACAAGTAAGAGGAGGATTCTAACTCGTATATATATCTGAAATATAATTTTGCTTGTTATACTAACTCTTACTTTACCCTCTTTATTTTATCCTTGGAGAAACGGTATCCAGTAACTTTTTAGTTATATTTTATTGCTTTCAATTACTCTAACTTTGGGTTATTTATACATTCAATAAATTATAATTGTTATTTATAATATAAACATAATACACTCTCTGTCAAATTTTGAAAATACAAAAAAAAGTAAATATAGTTCAAAATAAACTGTAACAATGTTTACAAATAACACTTCAACTACACGAATCCTTTTCATTTCTGTGAGATTTACATAAGAGATAACAAAAATTAGCCACAAAAACTTTCTGTAAATTATCTTAACATAGTAAAAAACAATTGGAATCTGGAAAAAATTATAAAGTCTTAAAAAATTTACAATATTTTGATTATCGAATCGAAACAATGTTCCAATATTATTAAACAAGCCAAAAATATAATTCGAAATAAAATCTTCAAACTCTTTGATATTGGCAGCTTTATAATGCTCCTTTTCATCTTCAGCATCTCTCAAAACAATTCTTAATACATTGTTTAATCACGTTAAATTTTCATTTGCTATACGAATCTGAATATTATCAGTTTCAAATTGATTCTTTTTAGTTACAAGTTCCTCATTTCTATTTCTTAAAAGTGTATTTTCACAAATCAATTCGTTTCTATCAGTATTCAAAGCAATAATTCTTTGTTGCAATTCGTAAATTCTTACTTGCATTCTAGTGTTTTCAGCTATAACTATCTCTCTGCCAGTTACTCGAGGTTCCATTTTGTTAAAAGTTATTTTTTCTTAACTAATTCTTCATGATCTCAATTTATTTTTATACCCTACTCCAAAAGAATTCAAAAATATAAATTTACCAAAACTTTGATATCCTATATTTCAATTAAAATATATAAACCCACTATTTTCCTTAAGAAACTAAAATAGTTATTGAAATTGAGATCGGTTCAAACCTATCTTTCTGTTTGATCGAACTTGCAAAAGTTTTTTTTCTTTGTTTTACACTACTCTGTTTCGCATTTATTATAATTTTTTTTTCTAATAAATGACCTTCTAATCAGTCCAAAACCGATTAAACTTTTCTTTATGCAATTTTCTTCCAAGGCTTTAAAGGTGAGGGAGACTCACAATCTGTAATAATCTTTACTTTATGTAATAATTTTTACTAATTCTCACTTTCGCTAACTCGGTGACTTTATCGTGGGTTGTTTGTCGACTAGTTTTCATAATTGTGATTCATTTACTTGAATTATTTATGTTGTAATTCCAGATGCCTAAAGTTTCTTCGTTGAAATATTACGCAGTTGCTAAAGGAGAAAAAACTAGAATTTTTTTATCATTTAAAGAATGTGAAAAATATGTTAAAGGTATTTCTGGAGCTTTGTATAGATCATTTTATACAAAGATCGAGGCTCAGAATTTTATCGATCAACAAAATATTGACATGTTAAATTGAATTTACCAGAACATAAAAATACTATCAAAGATTATTTCAAATAATTTTTGTATTTTTATTTTTTATTTTTTAATAAATAATATCTTTAATATTCCCTCGAATCGACTAAATTTGATGATTATGTTTTACAAAAAATCAAATGTGATTTGTATTGGCGATTGGGAGGTGAGGGACCTAATCAAAAATTCGTATCAAATAATATTAACAAACAACCCACGATAAGCAATTGCAAAGCTAGCGGCACGCCAAAAAAAAAAAGCCTCTGGTAAGGCAAGCAATCTAATCAGTTTTAAACCAATTAGATTTTTACTTGTGTAATTTGTTGTTTAAAATGTCTCAATCACCAAATAATTCAGATAAAAATTTTATTCTAATTTTTATTAATCTTAATCCATATTTTTACTGATTTAAATTTTTAATCAATATAATTACTGATAAAGTAATTTACTTTATCTACAATGAACTTCTAAATCAGAAATCTATTTTTAGGCAAAAAACTAAAAAAGTTATTTTGTCGATCCTACATAAAATACTAAACTAAAATTAAAGTAACTGTATATCTGCCAATCACAACATAAATTTTAAACTAAAATTAGACTATTAAATATATACACATATAAAATCTAATTTAAAAATTAAAGTAATTAATATATATCGCAACATAAATTTTAATCTAAATTAGACTATTAAATATATATACAATATAAATCTAATCTAAAAATAAAGTAATCAA